TGTCAAGAATGTCAAAGATAAACAGAATATACAAATTACCAATATCAGGAATACAATAAGAAATAATACTACCCATACTACAAGTATTAAAAAAGATAGGTGAATACAATGCACTGTTTGATCTTCATAAACTAAAGAAGTTAGAGATGGGCTAACTTCTTGAAAACAACCAACTACTAAACTCAACTAAATAAATGACTTGAATAGTGCTACAGCAACTAAAGAAATTAAATAAACATTGAAAATGACCTTAGGATGAAAAAAACTCCAGGCCTAATAATTCCACTGGAGAATGTTATCATCTACAAAAGAATTTATACCAGTTGTTTTGTGGTACTGTGACTGAACCCAGGGCCTCACACATGCCAGTCAAGCACTATACAACTGAGCTGTATCTCTAGCCTTTTCAAAGATTCATATTGAGGTAGGTTCTTATTCAGTTACCCAGGCTACCATCAAACTTGCTATCCTCCTGCCTCAGCTTCTTGAATAACTAAAATTATAGGCTTATACCAAAATGCTCAGTTGTAATATTAATTTTCATAGAAACTATGCCACAATATTAAGAAAACCAATTATTATTCATTGTATGAAGCTAGTACTGAAAAAAAAAGCTAGTATTATCCTAATCCACTTACCAAAGCCAAACAATATAAAATAAAAAAGAAAACTATATATCAATATCTCTCATGAACTTAGACACAAATTCCTCAACAAAATATAAGTAAATCCTCCAACTATATATAAAAATAATCATATACCACTACTGATTGATATTTACTGTGAAAATGCAAGGCAGGTTCAACATTTGAATCCGATCAATGCAAACTATATTGACAGGCTAAGGAAGAAAAATCACATCGTATCAATGGATACAGAGAAAGTATTTGATGAAATTCAATACCAATTCTTAATTTTTAAAACTCTCAGGAAGACAGAAATGAAGAGAAATTCCTCAATTAAACAAAGAACATTTATAAGGAAGCCACATCTAACACCATTTTTTGAGGTAAAAGGCTAAATGCTTTAATAAGCCCAGGGATGAGATAGTGATGTCCTTCTTCATCTATAATGCAAGTTCTAATTATTGCAGTAGATAAGAAGAAAAAGAGGATACATAAATCAGACAGGAAAAAAATTGCAGTGGCAGTACTTGAGTATGAATATCTACGTAGAAACCTCAAAGAATCTCTGGGGGAAAATCTGCTAGAAATAACTGATAATCCAGAAATATTGGAGGGTACAACATTAACCTACCTCCGCCCCCCCCCCAAAAAAAAACCAGTATTTGTATGGCAAGACCAAATATTTCTTATTTTTTTTTTTTTTTTGGCAGAACCAGGGATTGAACGCAGGCCCTTGAGCTTGCCAGGGAAGAGCTTATTCCACTGAGCCATCTCCCTAGCCCCCAAATATTTCTTATCTGAGGGGCTAGAGACCAAAAGAATTACTGGCCAGACCCAGTCCTAGCCCAGGTCTGGTGAGTGTGTGGAGAGCTTCCTGCTAGCCTGCGCCGGTGGGACCAGTCCGGGCCGAGGCACAGCTTGGGCCAGACCCTCTCCCACCCCCTTGGGCCACGCCCCACCACTCCACAGTACCTCACCGACCCCGCCCACCAAGTAGGAATTTCTGCCCAGTTCCAGGAACCCCCAGACCCAGTCCTAGCCCAGGTCCGGTTAGTGTGTGGGAGAGCTTCCCCTTCCCCCTACTTCACCTTGCCCCCTCCAGGCACAGCTTAGGCCTGGCATACACGCCTGGGGTGTAATCCTGCAGCTGCAATCCCTGAAGAGAGTGTAGAGGATAGATCCAACCAGCTAATCCAGGAACTGAAATCTCGCCACAGGGGCACAACAGGTTCACCCCCAAGGGCAGCAGCGGGAAGGAGCTGAGCACAGCAGCCAGACCCAAGCCAGATACAGCTGGATAAGTCCAAACTTTGTGGAGCTGCACATGAACTTCAGTACGTGCGAAGGTTATAAGTACAACAAAGATCTACAACAAAGGTCAGAAGACAGTGCTACACAAAATGACGAGAAGGAACAAAATGCAACCTCAGAACCCAAGCCCACCCATAACAAGTGCAGA